ATGGCCCGTGTCTTGGAAACGGTTGAGGGTTATTTTTGTTACTGTTCTGCATAAATGTTATAAACGATGTAAATATGTTCATTCAGGGCCCCATGGAAGACCACTACTTGTTGGTGAATGGGCTACGTACCCTGCCAAAAGATTAGAAACAAATAAATAAATAAATTTAAAAAGAAACCCCCAAAAACAGAGGGAAAGGGAAGGTAAGAGGAGGGTTTCAGCATGTCAAGGGCGTCACCTCAAGCAAAAACAATTCCCCAAAAAAAAAAATTAAAAAAAATGCCTACAACACCCGGTATTCCCAGGCGGTCTCCCATCCAAGTACTAACCAGGCCCTACGCTGCTTGACTTCGGTGATCGGACGAGAACCGGTATATTCAGCATGGTATGGTCGTAGGCGAAAGACATCATCGTTCAACCTATTTGAAGTTAAAGACTGACGTCATCATTGAGCATGCGCACAAAGTGCGCTTTATTGACCAGTGTCAATGTTACGTCATGGCCCGTGTCTTGGAAACGGTTGAGGGTTATTTTTGTTACTGTTCTGCATAAATGTTATAAACGATGTAAATATGTTCATTCAGGGCCCCATGGAAGACCACTACTTGTTGGTGAATGGGCTACGTACCCTGCCAAAAGATTAGAAACAAATAAATAAATAAATTAAAAAGAAACCCCCCAAAAACAGAGGGAAAGGGAAGGTAAGAGGAGGGTTTCAGCATGTCAAGGGCGTCACCTCAAGCAAAAACAATTCCCCAAAAAAAAAAATTAAAAAAAATGCCTACAACACCCGGTATTCCCAGGCGGTCTCCCATCCAAGTACTAACCAGGCCCTACGCTGCTTGACTTCGGTGATCGGACGAGAACCGGTATATTCAGCATGGTATGGTCGTAGGCGAAAGACATCATCGTTCAACCTATTTGAAGTTAAAGACTGACGTCATCATTGAGCATGCGCACAAAGTGCGCTTTATTGACCAGTGTCAATGTTACGTCATGGCCCGTGTCTTGGAAACGGTTGAGGGTTATTTTTGTTACTGTTCTGCATAAATGTTATAAACGATGTAAATATGTTCATTCAGGGCCCCATGGAAGACCACTACTTGTTGGTGAATGGGCTACGTACCCTGCCAAAAGATTAGAAACAAATAAATAAATAAATTTAAAAAGAAACCCCCCAAAAACAGAGGGAAAGGGAAGGTAAGAGGAGGGTTTCAGCATGTCAAGGGCGTCACCTCAAGCAAAAACAATTCCCCAAAAAAAAAAATTAAAAAAAATGCCTACAACACCCGGTATTCCCAGGCGGTCTCCCATCCAAGTACTAACCAGGCCCTACGCTGCTTGACTTCGGTGATCGGACGAGAACCGGTATATTCAGCATGGTATGGTCGTAGGCGAAAGACATCATCGTTCAACCTATTTGAAGTTAAAGACTGACGTCATCATTGAGCATGCGCACAAAGTGCGCTTTATTGACCAGTGTCAATGTTACGTCATGGCCCGTGTCTTGGAAACGGTTGAGGGTTATTTTTGTTACTGTTCTGCATAAATGTTATAAACGATGTAAATATGTTCATTCAGGGCCCCATGGAAGACCACTACTTGTTGGTGAATGGGCTACGTACCCTGCCAAAAGATTAGAAACAAATAAATAAATAAATTTAAAAAGAAACCCCCCAAAAACAGAGGGAAAGGGAAGGTAAGAGGAGGGTTTCAGCATGTCAAGGGCGTCACCTCAAGCAAAAACAATTCCCCAAAAAAAAAAATTAAAAAAAATGCCTACAACACCCGGTATTCCCAGGCGGTCTCCCATCCAAGTACTAACCAGGCCCTACGCTGCTTGACTTCGGTGATCGGACGAGAACCGGTATATTCAGCATGGTATGGTCGTAGGCGAAAGACATCATCGTTCAACCTATTTGAAGTTAAAGACTGACGTCATCATTGAGCATGCGCACAAAGTGCGCTTTATTGACCAGTGTCAATGTTACGTCATGGCCCGTGTCTTGGAAACGGTTGAGGGTTATTTTTGTTACTGTTCTGCATAAATGTTATAAACGATGTAAATATGTTCATTCAGGGCCCCATGGAAGACCACTACTTGTTGGTGAATGGGCTACGTACCCTGCCAAAAGATTAGAAACAAATAAATAAATAAATTTAAAAAGAAACCCCCCAAAAACAGAGGGAAAGGGAAGGTAAGAGGAGGGTTTCAGCATGTCAAGGGCGTCACCTCAAGCAAAAACAATTCCCCCAAAAAAAAAAATTAAAAAAAATGCCTACAACACCCGGTATTCCCAGGCGGTCTCCCATCCAAGTACTAACCAGGCCCTACGCTGCTTGACTTCGGTGATCGGACGAGAACCGGTATATTCAGCATGGTATGGTCGTAGGCGAAAGACATCATCGTTCAACCTATTTGAAGTTAAAGACTGACGTCATCATTGAGCATGCGCACAAAGTGCGCTTTATTGACCAGTGTCAATGTTACGTCATGGCCCGTGTCTTGGAAACGGTTGAGGGTTATTTTTGTTACTGTTCTGCATAAATGTTATAAACGATGTAAATATGTTCATTCAGGGCCCCATGGAAGACCACTACTTGTTGGTGAATGGGCTACGTACCCTGCCAAAAGATTAGAAACAAATAAATAAATAAATTTAAAAAGAAACCCCCCAAAAACAGAGGGAAAGGGAAGGTAAGAGGAGGGTTTCAGCATGTCAAGGGCGTCACCTCAAGCAAAAACAATTCCCCAAAAAAAAAAATTAAAAAAAATGCCTACAACACCCGGTATTCCCAGGCGGTCTCCCATCCAAGTACTAACCAGGCCCTACGCTGCTTGACTTCGGTGATCGGACGAGAACCGGTATATTCAGCATGGTATGGTCGTAGGCGAAAGACATCATCGTTCAACCTATTTGAAGTTAAAGACTGACGTCATCATTGAGCATGCGCACAAAGTGCGCTTTATTGACCAGTGTCAATGTTACGTCATGGCCCGTGTCTTGGAAACGGTTGAGGGTTATTTTTGTTACTGTTCTGCATAAATGTTATAAACGATGTAAATATGTTCATTCAGGGCCCCATGGAAGACCACTACTTGTTGGTGAATGGGCTACGTACCCTGCCAAAAGATTAGAAACAAATAAATAAATAAATTTAAAAAGAAACCCCCCAAAAACAGAGGGAAAGGGAAGGTAAGAGGAGGGTTTCAGCATGTCAAGGGCGTCACCTCAAGCAAAAACAATTCCCCAAAAAAAAAAATTAAAAAAAATGCCTACAACACCCGGTATTCCCAGGCGGTCTCCCATCCAAGTACTAACCAGGCCCTACGCTGCTTGACTTCGGTGATCGGACGAGAACCGGTATATTCAGCATGGTATGGTCGTAGGCGAAAGACATCATCGTTCAACCTATTTGAAGTTAAAGACTGACGTCATCATTGAGCATGCGCACAAAGTGCGCTTTATTGACCAGTGTCAATGTTACGTCATGGCCCGTGTCTTGGAAACGGTTGAGGGTTATTTTTGTTACTGTTCTGCATAAATGTTATAAACGATGTAAATATGTTCATTCAGGGCCCCATGGAAGACCACTACTTGTTGGTGAATGGGCTACGTACCCTGCCAAAAGATTAGAAACAAATAAATAAATAAATTTAAAAAGAAACCCCCCAAAAACAGAGGGAAAGGGAAGGTAAGAGGAGGGTTTCAGCATGTCAAGGGCGTCACCTCAAGCAAAAACAATTCCCCCAAAAAAAAAATTAAAAAAAATGCCTACAACACCCGGTATTCCCAGGCGGTCTCCCATCCAAGTACTAACCAGGCCCTACGCTGCTTGACTTCGGTGATCGGACGAGAACCGGTATATTCAGCATGGTATGGTCGTAGGCGAAAGACATCATCGTTCAACCTATTTGAAGTTAAAGACTGACGTCATCATTGAGCATGCGCACAAAGTGCGCTTTATTGACCAGTGTCAATGTTACGTCATGGCCCGTGTCTTGGAAACGGTTGAGGGTTATTTTTGTTACTGTTCTGCATAAATCGTCACCCGTTTCACGAACCGTCCTCTCTGGCCAAATTCGGCATTTTTTTCAATTTTTATTTTTTTGCATTTTTTTCATGTACTAATAAATACCTACATTTTGTGAAAATTTCAGAGTCTAACATTGCGCGGTTACGTAATAACGACGTCATCGTAAAGCGTCCTCTTGCAATAAATTGGATATTTCTGTACCACGAACCGTCCTCTCTCGCGCTCGCGCGCTCAGGACACTTCGTGGTGAAGAATTTGACGTAAATTGATCCGTCTGCTGCACCACGAAGCGGCCGCTTCCCTGGAAAGTTTGCCCGGATCCAATTATTTCGTAAGTATATGCTCTAAGATCTATTTTCTAAAACATAAAATATTTTCAAAAAACAATAAGAGATTCTTCCTTCGGTTATAGCAATTATATTTTTCTAAAAAGTTCATTTTATCATTAAATTCTCACGAAAAATTATGTTACAGTCCCGCCTATTCAGTTTTTGGTTGGACCTAACACGAAATCCTGTCTGACTGTTGATAATAACAACTAACTTCAGATCTACTGAAGATATCTGCTTTCTAAGATTATTTAATGAATACTGTCTGTAGATTAGATAAACACAGGAAAAACTAGAACAAGAGCAATTCAACACTAGTAATTTAGGTCTAACTCTAGATCTAGACCTAGGATCTACTTTGTCTTTATCTTACAATACCTACTATTACTAACGACGACGATTTAGGCCTAGACCAGATCTATTTCTGATCAAAGAAAGACACAAATTAGACCTAGATGTAACTTAGTCTTAGTGTAGATCTAGACTAGAGTCTAGCTAGACCATAGTCTGACTAGACCTAGGTCTAGTCCTAACTTTTTTTAGTATTATTAAGATGTATAATGTTACTAACTAACCTATCTTAGGGTCTATAGATTTTATCTAGATCTAACATTTGGACTAGGCCTAGATAGTTAAGGTTTTACCTAGGAGCTCCACCATTAGCAGATCTTAAGTCATTTGTGCCCTGCCCATTTCGGGGACCAAAACTGAAAGTTCTATTTTATATGTAATCTAATCAAGATAGTTACAATTAATGTACTGAACAATAGTTGGACTTCATCTAGATTAACCATTTTTTCATTACAAAAAAAATGTCTTATTCAGTCCCAAAAATTGGCAGGGACCAGGGTATTCATGTTCATGTTCTTGTTGACATTTTTATTTATGTACTTGAATGCATGGTGTAGTAAAATTATTGTAACTTTAATCTCTACCTATGTGTCAAATCATTGTGAAACCGATTTGTATATCATTGACTTTTATAATATTTTGTCTCATTTTTTTTCTTGTTTTTATTATCGCAGATGTGGCTGTGCAACTTAGAGAAGGAGATATCTAAAACAAAGCAGGTATGCCAAGACCAAAGAAGAGCAAAGGGAAAAGTGGATCAAGGTAAGAATTCTTATGTTTACCAGAATAAATATTTATAAATAATGAAATGGTGTTAAAAAACAATATATAGGTGATGTCTTTGACTTTATAATTTCAAGTGTTGGGCCAATATTAATGCAGAATAATAATTTCTTCATGAATTATAAAAAATAAGGCTATAATTTCTTTACCAGTTCATCTCTCATGGAACAGCTTAATATGTATGTTTATTACCGAATACATACCGGTATGCAAAATTGTTATGAAAATAAGGTTGTTGAAATCTCTCTTTCTTTTTTTATTCCTTTTTAGACCGGATAAAGGCTATGATGTTTTGGTGCAATGGCATTTGAATGGTGCAAACAACATTGTTCATTCACCACTCCTTCAGTGGACAGGGAAGATGACAAAAGGGAAAGAGGTGATCATGGACTATGAAGGGACTCTGTGGCAAGGAATCGTTCTCGATTCAGAATATCTTGAAGATTCAGAATCGTCTGATGAGGAATTTGACATCCCCCTGGCACGACTTTCTGACAAATATGCAGGTATTACTCTCCTTTTCCTCTTTTTCCCAATTTGATATCATCTGAGTGTTAACCAGTTCTTGGGAGTATGAGAGTCTCGTCAAGAAAATGTTTACAATAATGAACTTGTGCATGAAAAAATGAACATATTTACAATAATGAATATGTATATACAAAAGAACGTAATTACAATTATGAATAAGAATGTTTGCATTATGAAAGTACAAGAATATAACAACAACAACAATCTAGACCAACTTTCCTACAAGATCTTAATGAGGAAAGACCGAAGCGCATGTTCAATATTATAAATGGATTCTTCTACATTTGTAAGATCTTTTTTTAGGGGGGAGGGGTGGGTGCAGGTTTGGGATGAGTCTTCTATTTGGGGGGGGGGGAGGCATTGGAACTAGTGTGTATATTTCACTATTGTAGTCTTATTCATTTTTTTTTTTGGGGGGGGGGGGCATCTTCTTCGGAGAGTTTAAAACTAGTGTTTATATTCAATTTTTGTAATCCTACCCCAGAAGCAAAACTTGGTCCTCTACCCGTATCATCGCCATCACTTCCTGAAGATTCAACAGGATGTGGATCTGGATTGCCTGAACCAATATCCATCGCAAGTGACCAGATAACACAGTCTGATGAGGAATTTGACATCCCCCTGGCACGACTTTCTGACAAATATGCAGGTATTACACTCCTTTTCCCAATTTGATAGATAAGATAAGATAAGATTTTATTAAACTCTATCGAACCCCGATCGGGAGTATGAGAGTCTCAACAAGAACATATTGACAATAATGAATTTGTGCATGAAAAAATGACCATATTTACAATAATGAATATGCATATACAAATGAACTTAATTACAATTATGAATAAGAATGTTTGCATTATGAAAGTACAAGAATATAACAACAACAACAATCTAGACCAACTTTCCTACAAGATCTTAATGAGGAAAGACCGAAGCGCATGTTCAATATTATAAATGGATTCTTCTACATTTGTAAGATCTTTTTTTAGGGGGGAGGGGTGGGTGCAGGTTTGGGATGAGTCTTCTATTTGGGGGGGGGGGAGGCATTGGAACTAGTGTGTATATTTCACTATTGTAGTCTTATTCATTTTTTTTGGGGGGGGGGCATCTTCTTCGGAGAGTTTAAAACTAGTGTTTATATTCAATTTTTGTAATCCTACCCCAGAAGCAAAACTTGGTCCTCTACCCGTATCATCGCCATCACTTCCTGAAGATTCAACAGGATGTGGATCTGGATTGCCTGAACCAATATCCATCGCAAGTGACCAGATAACACAGTCTGATGAGGAATTTGACATCCCCCTGGCACGACTTTCTGACAAATATGCAGGTATTACACTCCTTTTCCCAATTTGATAGATAAGATAAGATAAGATTTTATTAAACTCTATCGAACCCCGATCGGGAGTATGAGAGTCTCAACAAGAACATATTGACAATAATGAATTTGTGCATGAAAAAATGACCATATTTACAATAATGAATATGCATATACAAATGAACTTAATTACAATTATGAATAAGAATGTTTGCATTATGAAAGTACAAGAATATAACAACAACAACAATCTAGACCAACTTTCCTACAAGATCTTAATGAGGAAAGACCGAAGCGCATGTTCAATATTATAAATGGATTCTTCTACATTTGTAAGATCTTTTTTTAGGGGGGAGGGGTGGGTGCAGGTTTGGGATGAGTCTTCTATTTGGGGGGGGGGGGAGGCATTGGAACTAGTGTGTATATTTCACTATTGTAGTCTTATTCATTTTTTTTTTGGGGGGGGGCATCTTCTTCGGAGAGTTTAAAACTAGTGTTTATATTCAATTTTTGTAATCCTACCCCAGAAGCAAAACTTGGTCCTCTACCCGTATCATCGCCATCACTTCCTGAAGATTCAACAGGATGTGGATCTGGATTGCCTGAACCAATATCCATCGCAAGTGACCAGATAACACAGTCTGATGAGGAATTTGACATCCCCCTGGCACGACTTTCTGACAAATATGCAGGTATTACACTCCTTTTCCCAATTTGATAGATAAGATAAGATAAGATTTTATTAAACTCTATCGAACCCCGATCGGGAGTATGAGAGTCTCAACAAGAACATATTGACAATAATGAATTTGTGCATGAAAAAATGACCATATTTACAATAATGAATATGCATATACAAATGAACTTAATTACAATTATGAATAAGAATGTTTGCATTATGAAAGTACAAGAATATAACAACAACAACAATCTAGACCAACTTTCCTACAAGATCTTAATGAGGAAAGACCGAAGCGCATGTTCAATATTATAAATGGATTCTTCTACATTTGTAAGATCTTTTTTTAGGGGGGAGGGGTGGGTGCAGGTTTGGGATGAGTCTTCTATTTGGGGGGGGGGGGGAGGCATTGGAACTAGTGTGTATATTTCACTATTGTAGTCTTATTCATTTTTTTTGGGGGGGGGGGGCATCTTCTTCGGAGAGTTTAAAACTAGTGTTTATATTCAATTTTTGTAATCCTACCCCAGAAGCAAAACTTGGTCCTCTACCCGTATCATCGCCATCACTTCCTGAAGATTCAACAGGATGTGGATCTGGATTGCCTGAACCAATATCCATCGCAAGTGACCAGATAACACAGTCTGATGAGGAATTTGACATCCCCCTGGCACGACTTTCTGACAAATATGCAGGTATTACACTCCTTTTCCCAATTTGATAGATAAGATAAGATAAGATTTTATTAAACTCTATCGAACCCCGATCGGGAGTATGAGAGTCTCAACAAGAACATATTGACAATAATGAATTTGTGCATGAAAAAATGACCATATTTACAATAATGAATATGCATATACAAATGAACTTAATTACAATTATGAATAAGAATGTTTGCATTATGAAAGTACAAGAATATAACAACAACAACAATCTAGACCAACTTTCCTACAAGATCTTAATGAGGAAAGACCGAAGCGCATGTTCAATATTATAAATGGATTCTTCTACATTTGTAAGATCTTTTTTTAGGGGGGAGGGGTGGGTGCAGGTTTGGGATGAGTCTTCTATTTGGGGGGGGGGAGGCATTGGAACTAGTGTGTATATTTCACTATTGTAGTCTTATTCATTTTTTTTTTTGGGGGGGGGGCATCTTCTTCGGAGAGTTTAAAACTAGTGTTTATATTCAATTTTGTAATCCTACCCCAGAAGCAAAACTTGGTCCTCTACCCGTATCATCGCCATCACTTCCTGAAGATTCAACAGGATGTGGATCTGGATTGCCTGAACCAATATCCATCGCAAGTGACCAGATAACACAGTCTGACAGCCATGCAGGTAAAAATATCTTCCAATAATAGTTCATGACTATTCATAATAACATAAAGAAATCAGAGGACTGTCCACAGTACAAGGAAATTATACTGATGATAATAACTAAAGTGAAATTATATTGATACAGTTAGAATGGACAAAAAGCACACTTCATTTTATTGATTGTGTACGTGTTCTGAATATAAAAGGGATTTTCTATTCATTTATTCAATATCCTGATCAATTATTATCACACTTATTGTTTCTGTTGTGCTCAATATAACTTTACCTGTGTCCCGAAAATTATGTCATTACATTCACTATCATTGTTTTCCCTTGTCTTTTTATCTTCTCCAGATTCTCCGCTCCATCCAAACATGCAGTGTGGTCAGAGAAATCCTGAAACATGTGACAATTTCATGTGTACTGATGAAGTTTGGGCAGCGTGTCCAGAGTGCTTGTGTTTCTTATGCTTCCTTCATTTTAACTTACGTGATGATTGCCTTTGTCATAATCTTGCATTCAATCTCAGTGAAATTCCACTTGACATCAGTTCAAGTGCATCACAGTACCAAGGGCTCACCAACGAAGAAGAAAGGAACAATGAAGACGAGGTTATGCCGTTAATGGAATCAAGAAGAGGAAACTTTGAAAACCAAGCCTCATTGGATACAAGAGTTGAAGAGAACGGAGATCAGGTACTGATGGCGACTCTGGAATCAAAACAATCCGATGCGACCGACTCATTAGATATTCCAGAGCATCTTGAAGAAGCTAGCCTTCCCCAGGAATCAGCTGATAATAGTCAACTGTCTCCTGAATCATTTCAAGTAGATGGGGAAAGAGCATTGGAAGTGCCAGAGCAGCCAAAGACGGTGAAGAGTAGAAATCAATTAGTCAAAGAACGGAGAAATGCTGGTTACAGCTATGAGAGTGAAAAGAGTAAGGAACTAAAAGCGGCGAGGAGATTTGCTAGCTACGAAACCTCATGTGAAAAGTGTCATTTCAGAGGACTTAGTTGCAACACATTTAGTTGCAACACTCGTGAAGCTATTAGATCAGCTTTTTATGACCTTGCTGATCTGACAAAGCAGAGAGAATGGATTGGACGGCACACGAACAGATTCAAGAAAAGAAGTCAAGAAAGATCAGAAAATGTGCGTATTTCCTGCCCAATGCAGGTGATCCATGCATTAAAGTTCGTGTATGCAAAGCGATGTTCGTGGGAACATTAGGTATATCAGAGAGGCAAGTGAAGACCGTGCTTGGAAAGAAGAGACCATACGGCTGCCTTGAAGGTGAAGGAAGGGGTGGCAGGCAGACGTCTGACAGAGACGCTCTATTACGTGAAGGGGTGAAGCGGCACATTAATCAATTCCGCGTCAAGAATCTCATTATTGTCGGGCCAACAGTCGATGTGAATACCTTTCAGAAGATCTCAATCCTGAGATCATGTATCGCATGTACAATTCATCTACAGAAGGTACAGAGGAATGTGCTTCTTTATCTCTTTACAGGAAGGTTCTGAAGAAGATGAATATCAAGTTCCATCATCCGAAAAAGGACATGTGCCCCTGTGCGAAACCTACAGACGTGGGAATCCCAAAGAGAGGGAAGAAATTGCAGGGGCATACAAAGTTCACATTGCTGAAAAAGAAAAAGTAAGAGAGTTGAAGAGTCTTGCTAAGGAAAGAGCTTCAGTGACCACACATTTGTCTCTGCAGTTTTCGATCTGGAGCAGGTCATTTACTTGCCGAAGTCCCCACAATCTGACATTTTCTACAAACGTTTAGACTCAGCAACTACAACTTCACGATATATGAACTTGCAAGCAAGGACGGATGGTGCTTTCTACACACGAGTGCGAAACAAAAAGAGGATCCTGTGAAATTGCCTCACACGTCCATCGGTACCTTAACAGTCTAGATGAGAGGGGTGTGAAACAAGTAGTGTTCTACTGTGATGGCTGTGTCGGTCAAAATAAGAACTCTATCATCCCAACAATGCTGCAACATTCATCGGAAAGGCTAAGTCCGTTGAATCGGTCACAGTTAATTACTTCCCTACAAACCACGGACAAAATGAAGTAAATTGGAAATGGAAAATACGAGATGTATCAAGGACGAGAATTTAATGTTTCTATCTGTAATAGTGTAGTTTAAAAAAATAACAATGAAGTATACATTGGAATAGAATAACTACATGAAGGAGAAAAGTGATACATAATTTAAATATTTCATGATTGTGGATGAATCTGACTAAAGAGATCTTGGTGAAATTTTGATATTTCCATCTGCAAACAATGAAGTTTAACAAGATTCTATGAAATCAAAATGAAAGAATGTGGAAAAAGTTATATCATCCCTTTGAATATTCCTAAGACATGTGCATAATTGAATATATTCATGCAGATTGTGAGAATAGGATATATTAAAATCCTCTACTTTGATGTCCAATATATCACTTTTTCATTAATAGAGACAAAGGTTTTTACTTTATACAACTGATATAAAGAGTCAAATCACGAGGACTTCTTGATGACTGGATATGAAGAAACAAAAAAAAAAAAAAATTGAAATAACATTCATCATTGTCCATTCTTTTTTGTCTCAGGAGATCTAACAAACATTATGCCAAAATGTAATGTGTGTGATTTTTTTTAAGGAATTGTTTGTAATTCGTCTGCCTATTTTCAGATTTTGTTCTGTCTGTAAATATTTCTGTTAAATATGTTGCAAATACTATGGAATGAAATAATATGATGATTATTAAAAGATAAAAATGACACAATTGATAAATAACTATGTTTGTTTATTTTTTTAATATTTGAAGCAGGCAATGGACGTGTGTATCTAAATCCTTTGTTTCCATGCATGTCTGATTTACTGATTTTCTTAATTTAAAGTGCCTTATGAAATTATGCAGACAAATTTAAAAAAAGAAGAAAGAACGGAAGAAATAAAGAAAGAAAGGAAGAAATTTGGTAAAGAAAGCAATGAGGAAAGAAAGAAAAAAATGTAAAGAGAAGGAAGAAGGCAGACGAAAAAGTAAGGAAGGAAGGAAGGCAGAAAGAAACAAAGAAAGAAGAAGCAAAGAAAGAAGAAGCAAAGAAGAAAGAAAGCAAGATGACTATCAATCCAGAATTGGACAATGTTAAAAGAAGTGCATTTTATTTCGTCCGTAAGATGGCAATAATAATAAACTAACTAATAAATTTCAAATAAAAGAAAAAAGAAAAGAAAAAGACAAATTATTGCATGCAATGAACTGATTTCCAATAAACGAATTTTACCTGTTATTCAGTTACAAAAAAAAATCAATATTGAATTAAATAAATATGAATGCTCAGATCATACTTTAATTGAGATTTTCTTAAATATTCATTCGGTTTGTACAATCTTGTTAAAGCGGACGGTTCGTGGTGAAATGGATTACTGTTGTAACGGAATTCATCTTTTCACGAACCGTCTTCTCTGTTTATGAGGCAGTACGGACAAAAAATATTTCATCATTTTGAAGAATTGATATTGAGTGAGAGTAGATGTGTCATCATTTATCTATCACACCCGGATTATTCAACATCCCTAAAATGTTTGAAAATGTGAATTAGAAAACCGATGTCTGTAAAACAACACTTTCCGATTCTCAGTCACTTCATCTTCCATTCATTTTATACGGTTTTCATTGCGCCCCATAGGAAGGCCACGGTTCGTGGTGAAAATAGCAATGCGCATTGAAACATTTAAATCTTTTAAAAAGAAACCCCCCGCAGGAGAAAGGAAGTAAGTGGTAAAGATGCGGGCGGATCGCGCAAAATACAATTCCACAAAAACGTCCTCTCTGTTACAATGCTCGCTGTGGCGTAAATAATTAAGTCTCCCAAAAGTACTAAAGGCCCTGGGATGTAACTTCGGGACCGGAATATCGAATGAGTCATGGTTTGGTTTGCGTTACATTTAGTTATAATTATTGACGTTTAAAAGCATTTCTTTAAATGCGCTTTATTGACCAGTGTCAATGTTACGTCATGGCCCGTGTCTTGGAAACGGTTGAGGGTTATTTTTGCAGTTCTGCATAAATGTTATAAACGATGTAAATATGTTCATTCAGGGCCCCATGGAAGACCACTACTTGTTGGTGAATGGGCTACGTACCCTGCCAAAAGATTAGAAACAAATAAATAAATAAATTTAAAAAGAAACCCCCCAAAAACAGAGGGAAAGGGAAGGTAAGAGGAGGGTTTCAGCATGTCAAGGGCGTCACCTCAAGCAAAAACAATTCCCCAAAAAAAAAAATTAAAAAAAATGCCTACAACACCCGGTATTCCCAGGCGGTCTCCCATCCAAGTACTAACCAGGCCCTACGCTGCTTGACTTCGGTGATCGGACGAGAACCGGTATATTCAGCATGGTATGGTCGTAGGCGAAAGACATCATCGTTCAACCTATTTGAAGTTAAAGACTGACGTCATCATTGAGCATGCGCACAAAGTGCGCTTTATTGACCAGTGTCAATGTTACGTCATGGCCCGTGTCTTGGAAACGGTTGAGGGTTATTTTTGTTACTGTTCTGCATAAATGTTATAAACGATGTAAATATGTTCATTCAGGGCCCCATGGAAGACCACTACTTGTTGGTGAATGGGCTACGTACCCTGCCAAAAGATTAGAAACAAATAAATAAATAAATTTAAAAAGAAACCCCCAAAAACAGAGGGAAAGGGAAGGTAAGAGGAGGGTTTCAGCATGTCAAGGGCGTCACCTCAAGCAAAAACAATTCCCCAAAAAAAAAAATTAAAAAAAATGCCTACAACACCCGGTATTCCCAGGCGGTCTCCCATCCAAGTACTAACCAGGCCCTACGCTGCTTGACTTCGGTGATCGGACGAGAACCGGTATATTCAGCATGGTATGGTCGTAGGCGAAAGACATCATCGTTCAACCTATTTGAAGTTAAAGACTGACGTCATCATTGAGCATGCGCACAAAGTGCGCTTTATTGACCAGTGTCAATGTTACGTCATGGCCCGTGTCTTGGAAACGGTTGAGGGTTATTTTTGTTACTGTTCTGCATAAATGTTATAAACGATGTAAATATGTTCATTCAGGGCCCCATGGAAGACCACTACTTGTTGGTGAATGGGCTACGTACCCTGCCAAAAGATTAGAAACAAATAAATAAATAAATTTAAAAAGAAACCCCCCAAAAACAGAGGGAAAGGGAAGGTAAGAGGAGGGTTTCAGCATGTCAAGGGCGTCACCTCAAGCAAAAACAATTCCCCAAAAAAAAAATTAAAAAAAATGCCTACAACACCCGGTATTCCCAGGCGGTCTCCCATCCAAGTACTAACCAGGCCCTACGCTGCTTGACTTCGGTGATCGGACGAGAACCGGTATATTCAGCATGGTATGGTCGTAGGCGAAAGACATCATCGTTCAACCTATTTGAAGTTAAAGACTGACGTCATCATTGAGCATGCGCACAAAGTGCGCTTTATTGACCAGTGTCAATGTTACGTCATGGCCCGTGTCTTGGAAACGGTTGAGGGTTATTTTTGTTACTGTTCTGCATAAATGTTATAAACGATGTAAATATGTTCATTCAGGGCCCCATGGAAGACCACTACTTGTTGGTGAATGGGCTACGTACCCTGCCAAAAGATTAGAAACAAATAAATAAATAAATTTAAAAAGAAACCCCCAAAAACAGAGGGAAAGGGAAGGTAAGAGGAGGGTTTCAGCATGTCAAGGGCGTCACCTCAAGCAAAAACAATTCCCCAAAAAAAAAAATTAAAAAAAATGCCTACAACACCCGGTATTCCCAGGCGGTCTCCCATCCAAGTACTAACCAGGCCCTACGCTGCTTGACTTCGGTGATCGGACGAGAACCGGTATATTCAGCATGGTATGGTCGTAGGCGAAAGACATCATCGTTCAACCTATTTGAAGTTAAAGACTGACGTCATCATTGAGCATGCGCACAAAGTGCGCTTTATTGACCAGTGTCAATGTTACGTCATGGCCCGTGTCTTGGAAACGGTTGAGGGTTATTTTTGTTACTGTTCTGCATAAATGTTATAAACGATGTAAATATGTTCATTCAGGGCCCCATGGAAGACCACTACTTGTTGGTGAATGGGCTACGTACCCTGCCAAAAGATTAGAAACAAATAAATAAATAAATTTAAAAAGAAACCCCCCAAAAACAGAGGGAAAGGGAAGGTAAGAGGAGGGTT